GCCTAAGACCAACCCCCCCCCCCCCCAAAAAAATAATGATACTGAAAAATTTTCTCAATAAAATATCTCAGCCAGAGAGTGGAAGCCAGAGGACAGGGGCCCCATGTACAGTGGACTTCCAGATGGTTTTCCATCACTTTTAAATAAGAGCAGATAGCCAGAAATCATCAGACTCTGATGAAAGCCCCTAAAATGAAACAAGCAACCAAAACAGGCTAAAAACAAACAAAAATAGCATAAAAACAGACCATACGAGAAAGAGGGGGGAAAAAAAAGGTTTGACAGTAAGGACAAAGAATATCTCTCAGAAAATAAGAAACAAAAATATCCAAATAAACCCTAAGACAAAGCAAGAATATTAGAGTGCCATTGTAGAAGACATAATAATAAGACACCAGAAAAAGTTGAGAAATGAGTGGTGAAAAAATGAATTTTTACTTAGTTCTCTGCACAAAATCCTTCTATTTTGATCCGAGGAAAAGTCGAAGTCTTTTCAATAAGGCCTACCTTGACGTACCTATTTGATATTATACACTATAGCCCATATGCCTTTCCTCTACCTTTCACCTCACCGTAATTCTGATCGCCTTCTAAAATACTACCTATTTTAATTTTCAATGCTTGTTTACTGTCTGAATTATCCTGTAGACTGTGAATACCACAAGTTTAGAGACTTGACTATTTTGCTCACTAGTATACCCCAAGTATCCAGAAAAGTCTCTGGCACAAATTAGTGGCAACAAAAAAATTGTAGAATTAACTCCATGAGTTTTCAGAGGAAAATAAACAAACTAAGTTACACATAAGGAATCAGGAATAAGAAAGAATAAAAGTATTGGACTTTTAGTAATACTAGGAACTAAAAAATAACAGTTATCTTTACTGTTATATGGGGATTCTCAGAATGCTGGCAGCCAAGACTTAAGTGTTCAGGCAAGAACTTAGAAGAAATTTATCTGTGCAATTTGACCCACTTAAAAATAATGATACTGAAAAATTTAGTGATCATTTAAATACGGAGAAAAAATGTTTTTAATCTAAAATGCTACGCCCAACTAATCAATCAAGTAAGCAGGAGAGAATAAACATTTCCAAACATGTAAGCTTCTTAAATTTATCTCTTATGCATTAGCAGAATGTGTCTCATCAAAGAAAGGGAATGACTCAAGCAAAAGGAAAAGCATAGTTGTAGAGATTCCTTTAAGTAAGGGGATTTAATGCAGTAGAGGTGAAAGGAATCCCCACAATTTTCCTAAGATGACTATATGCAGCAGATTTATAAGACAAGCAGTCTAGACTGAGGCAAATCAGAAGGTTCTCGGAAATACTTCTTAATGATATGAAAGAATACATAACGTACCTGAAAATATTGGGAGTAGACTTAACATAATTTTGGATAAAGTGTGGGGTTGAATTAAGTGAGAAGTAAATAGAAAACTAAGCAAATGAAAAAGAAGGCAATCGTTAACCCCACAGGAAAAAAACAGTCACAAATGGAAAAACCACCTGTGTATTCTACCATGGCATGGCTATATTTATGTGGTTATGATAATGAATACTAACTGGACCAATTTAAGATTACCTACAGGGACAAGTAGTTGGTATAATGGCTATATTGCTGGACTCCCATGTAGTCGACCACGGTTCAAGTCCTGGACCCTGAAGCTTAAACTCATACTGGGCGCATGTTGTGTGTGTGCCCAAGATCCCAAGAAGAGAATGGAGGAGAAGGGATTGTGGCATGGTCATCTCCCCTGGGGGATGATTTCTCGCTTTCTGTCTCTCTGTCTCTCTCTGTCTTTCTGGCAAGCGCACGTGCCCTATAGCAAAAACCTCTAAAACAAAAACAACAAAAAAGATTTATCTACATTGAGAAACTTGAGAAATAAGTAGGAAGAGTGTGTGTTGTGTATACCAGGGGAGTGGTGATGTCAAAAAGCTAGAATTTCAGCTTTAACAGAGTAACTTAACAGATAATACCTAAACCTAGAAACAAACAAAAAAACCCCACTGTTTCCTAGAGCTATGAGGTTTAATAGACTCTAGCTAACAGATGAGAGTAATTACATTTGTGGGTAATAGTAATATTGGAGTAGTTTTGGGACCAGCAAATGGCGTGATGGTTATGTCTCTGAATTCTACATGGCTGACCACAGTTTGAGTCCCTGACCTGGTGGCTTAAACCTCATGTGGGCATGTGTGCATGCATGCCCAAAAGAGGGAAATGGAGAAGTGACTGTGGCATGGCCATCCCCCCTGGGAGATAATTTCTTGCTTTCTGTCTCTCCAGCAAGTGCATGTACCCTATAACAAAAATCTCTCTTTAAAAAAATATATATAAATAGGGGACCAGCAGGTGGCATGGTAGTTAAGGTGCTGGACACTCCCACATGGCTGACCATGCACGCCCACATGGCTGACCATGTTTCAAGTCCTGGACCTGGTAGCTTGCTTTCTCACTTTCATTCTCTCTCTGTCTCTCTCTCTCTCTCTCTCTCTCTCTCTCTCTGATCAAATTAAAATAATGAATAAATAAAATAAAATTAAAAATAAAGTTAAAAAAAAATAAAAGTAGTTTTTCATGAAGAGCCTTACAGAATTACCCAACTTTAAATAACAAGCATTTATTATTGATCTTATAAAGTAAAACAATTTTACAACACTATAACTTCAAAAGAGGCATATCAGTCTATAATTATATGGTTTTAAATTTCATTTAAGGGCCAGATGAAACATTTTTCTCATAGCTGAGTTCTAAAAGATAACCTTCTTTTTTTAGGAAGGCAAACAGCCTATATTCTGAATGACTAAAACATACCTGTTTGCTTGATGGTGTGAGTTTCTCTTCTGGAGACTTTGTGCTGAATGTCAATAAACTCTGAAAAGAGATCAATTAATGATTCAAAAGATGAACTGCAAAGTGTGAATCTAAAGAAAGTATTAAGATGTTTAAAAAAAATGGGAAGGTCAATTTTTCTCATATATATTGGTCATCAGAAAAGTCATGACATGTTTTTCCATGACAACAGAAAATAAAAAATAAAACTTATTTAATAACCACTGTGAGAGCTGTAAGATTTTATTCTTAAGATATATTTAAGAGGGACCAGCAGTTAGGGTAATGGCTATGTCGCTGGACTCCCATGTAGTCGACTGCGGTTCGAGTCTCGGACCTGGTGGCTTAAAAACTCACGCTGGGCGCATGTGTGTGCGTGCCCAAGATCCCAAGAGGAGAATGGAGAAGGGATTGCGGCGTGGCCATCCCCCCCGGGGGGTGATTTCTCGCTTTCTGTCTCTCTCTTTCTGGTAAGCAAGCGCACAGGCCCTATACAAAAAAAAGAGAAGATATATTTAAGAACTGATAATGAAATCAACACGCTGGGCGCATGGTTGTGCGTCCCCAAGATCCCAAGAGGAGAATGGAGAAGGGATTGCGGCGTGGCCATCCCCCCCGGGGGGTGATTTCTCGCTTTCTGTCTCTCTCTTTCTGGTAAGCAAGCGCACAGGCCCTATACAAAAAAAAGAGAAGATATATTTAAGAACTGATAATGAAATCAAAGTCAACTGACACACCAAATTCAAGCCATCACTCTTTTTTTTTTTTTTGAGAGGTTTTGCTATAGGGCACGTGTGCTCACCAGACAGACAGAGAGAGACATAGAGACAGAAAGCGAGAAATCGCCCCCCGGGGGGGATGGCCACGCCGCAATCCCTTCTCCATTCTCCTCTTGGGATCCTGGGCAGATACGCACACATACCCGGCGTGAGTTCTAAGCCACCAGGTCCGGGACACGAACTGCGGTCGACTACGTGGGAATCCAGCAACATAGCCATTACGCTAAGTGCTGGTTCCCAAGCCATCACTCTTATAGGCAAATCAGATACTAAAATAATAATTAAAAAGAACCATGCTAATAAATACCATTTAAAGTATTTTAGTTTCTTCTCTTTGTCTTTTTGGTTGTCATGGAGTTAATGCAAATAATACTTACAGCACCTCCAAGGTGTGGGGTAATTAAAGGGGTACATACATGCATACTAGTAATCCCACTGTACTGTGCATGTTAAACCATTTATTTTGGAAAATAATCCTTTAACGAAATGGTTCCATCTAGAAACAAACTCACATCAATAGTTCCTGGCTGATTTTCTACTCTGTAAACTGCATGTACAAGGTGACCATCTTTTCTGCGGGGAGCAGTTACCTGTGATTTTGTTAGGAAGTAAAACTGTGATCTATTTAGCCACTGGTAAGCTTCTGAGGTGAATGATTCAGGGACATCTCGTGGAACAAACACTCCCCACTGGACTTCCTCTCTGGAGATATTCTTCTGAATATACAATGGCCTTGGCTCACTAGGTTTAAATACAAACACTAGAGGGAAAAAACAGACAGACAATAACATTTTGCCTGTGGAGGCTAGTTCCGACTTGAGACTGGCAGACAGTGAGTCCTGGGACTCACTCCATTGAGTACACTGCTGCAGGCTTTGATTCAACAAGTATCTACTGGGTGTTCACTAAATGCCAAGCAGAACAGAAACAGAGGCTATGAAAATGAAAAAGAAAAAACAATCCTTGTTCCAGAGACTAGAGCCTAGGGCCAAAGATAGAAGGTAAAATATTATTGCAGTATTTGTCTTAAGTACTAGAAAACAGTAATACAGAGATGTACGAAGAACATACAGGAGAACCAACTAAAGCTATGCAGAGGAGCTGGGAAGGCTTCGAAATGGTGAAATCTCTATTGGAGTTTAAAGACTGAAAAGGAATTGACCTATGACAACCAAACGGAGGTTTTGGAGCCCTGCAGAACCAAGTATGAATATATATGTAACAAGGTGCTGGAACAAGAAAAAAAGGGCCATTCTCATGCAAATGGCTTCAAATAAACTTCTGATTTAAAGGCCAGTTTGACTCATATTATATTAAAATCATTAAAAAGATAATTTAGCTCATAGATATCCTCTTACTGTCAAGGTATGGTCTGTACTTACAATCTGAACCCACTGAAGACTTAGAGACTGCAGCAATATTCTCTGATTTAGGGTCAGGTTCCATAACTCTAATATTTAATTTTGCACTCCATTCCACTGAAAAATAAAACAAACAAAACAAAAAACGTGATTCTAAGAAGAGATTTACCGAAAGCATTTTAAAGCAGGTCTTCTTAATCTTTATTGAGATAATCAACTCTATTGTGATGCATAAAATCCTTCTTCCGAAGAATAATAGAACTGATGTGAGGATAATATTGTAGAAGCTTATATATTGATGATTAGGGAATTTACAAGTATTCTAAATCTATCGTGGGCCCAATACCCCAAATTTTGGTGGTATAATATGTCATGTGAAAAACGACATATTCTCTGGGTAGAGACAAGATAGCTCTAAATCCTAAAAAGCCAAAGTTTAATGTCAAATTCCTAGGCACTTTGCCCAGTCACTTTAAAGTTAAAAATATCTTACATGCACAACTGAGCAGATTCCAACAGCAAAGAATGCCATTTTCAGTAGCACCAAGAAGATACTTTGAACATGTCAATCTCCCAAAGCAAAGGTGCCTAGGTTAAAACATAAAGACATTAGCAACAGTCAGATAGAACCATGTTTAGTTACAAAGGAGTTACAGGCTTCAAGTCACTATGTTAACTTTATGCAATATAGACTTTTTTTTTTTTTTTAAGGTTTTTGTTATATGGTGGAGGGCGAGAGAAAGAGAGAGAGAGAGAGAGAATGAGAAATCATCCCCATCCCTAAGGGGGGGGATGGCTAAGTACAATTCCTTCTCTTTTATTCTCCTCCTGTGATTTTAGGCATGCATTTACACATAGCTGGTACAATTTTCAAGCTGCCAGATCTGGGATTTGAACAGTGATTGGCTACATGGGAGTCCAGGGCCTTAAACATTACACTATATGCTGGCCCGACAATGTAGACTTTTTAATAGACACGTGTTTATGTTTATAATTATCCTAGAAAATAAAGCAGCTAAGGAATATAAAAGAAAAGGTATATTTAGATATTTTATTTCTTTAGGAAAACAGTTTTTATTACCAATGTTTGGGAACTAGCAGGTAGTGTGATGCTTAAGGTGCTGGATAATCTCACATGGCTGACCATAGTCCAAGTCCTGGACCCCTGGTGGCTTGCTTTCTTACTTTCTCTCTCTCCCTGTGTCTCTCTAGTCGAATGAAAATAAATAAATGAATAAATAAAATTAAAAAATTCTTAAAAAAGAAAATAGTTTTGATTACCAATTCTCTAGGATGTTGTGCCATAGATCAATTAACATATAACAGGGAAAATGTAAACATATAAAATCATTAAACAAAAACCCTATTTTATTACCTTTACCTTGAAGAGGAAAATCTGCAATGTGAACTCTGAAGAATGCTTTACAAAACATATCAGAATGAGACAGGTTGGGAATTAGAAACAATTTCATTAGCCTAATGCCATTCTGTCCTCATGCCCGGTTATGTGAAATACAATGGAAAACACTGCTGTTATTTTCCCCTGCCTTTTCCAGAAACAATGACATTTGGGCATTACATTGTGAAATACACAGAAGTTAAGCATAGTTTGGATTCACTGAGAATTACTGGGTTGTTGGCAAAGTCATGACTTTTTTCCCCTATGTCTTTCTATGGAAAAATCCATCATGACTTTTTTCTGACAACCTATTATCTATAGCTTCTACTAAGATGTAGCACATCCAAGAAAATATCTATTTCAAAGAAGAAAATACATAGGCCAATCTTTACATATTAATCTGGATTTGAGAAACGGTGGCGTATTGTCTGTGTCCTCTAAATTTTCAGCTTTCTAGCACTTTGATAGCTGCCTGCCCCACTTGCCTATACGTTTCCCTGGGAGAAAGCATAAAACACTAAGACCTGAAGAAGTGTCTAAATGAATGAATAAATAGTATTACATACTCTCAAATGATTTGCCTACCTTATTTCCCCAGCTCGTTGGCAAAAGGTACATTTCAGTTCCCACGTTTCTGAATCCCATATTGTGACTATTTCTTCAAAACTAACTGCTAGTAATGAGCCATCTTCAGAGAAACAACAGTTAGTTGCTTGATACTTGTGATAACTTCCCACAAAATCACAGGTCCAGCCAACAGCTTTTTCTGTGTAAATATAAGCCATACTGTTCAGAAAGGACATAAGTACTAGGTAATATTACAGGGATCTTAAAAGCATTCTAAGACACAAAACAAGAAAACTTTCCCATCTTCCTTTAAGTTACAAGTACTACAGAGTACTGATTAATTTAAAAATTATGCTCCTTCCTGGAGACCTTGACCTCCCCCTAGTGGAACAATGAAAGGACTGATGGCAAGAGTCCTTTTTTTTTTTTTGAGAGAGGTTTTTGCTATAGGGCGTGTGTGCTTGACAGAGACAGAGAGAGACAGAGAGACAGAAAGTGAGAAATCATCCCCAGGAAGTATGGCCACGCCGCAATCCCTTCTCCTCTATTCTCCTCTCAGGATCTTGGGCACGCATGCACACAAGCCCGGCGGGAGTTTAAACCACTGGGTCCAAAACTTGAACCGCGGTCAACTACATGGGAGTCCAGCAAATAGCCATTACACCAACTGCTGGTCCCAAATGCCCTTTTTATTACACTTTCATAAGCTAGAATAATCAGTACTTGAGTAATCAGGAGTGCCATTTGAAAAGTAAAAATTTTGGAAAAAGGCATGTAAAAATGTAATCTCTTAAACTTATTAAAATTAAGTAATACCCTATAGAATTCCTCAAGGTAAAAAGTCCTTTCAGAATGAATGAGTCATGAGATAAATATATCAGTTCTTAAAACTGTACGTTCTCTAAGTGTACTGCATCATATTTACTTACTGTATATGTCAGAATCATCTGTTAATATCCACACTTTGAAGTGACCGTCTTTACTAGCTGTAACCAAGGTGGGGTTTTCAGATCTTTCTGCATTACAGAAACACAGAGCTGTAATGTGGTCTTCATGAGGCATGTTAATCTTCGTGTTAAGAACAAACCTAGTAGGAAGAAAACCACAAATTTATTCTTCCATCAGACAGTATGATACATTTTCATTTAGGAATTTCTTACATATTGTACATGTTACAAGGTCATCATTAACAGGCAACTGATAGATCATCACCCAGAATGACAAGCGCTCTCTTTCCAGTGGTCGTAGGACGCAGAGTTATAATACATCATCTGTGTCCGACTTATAGAGAGATTATGATACACAGTGGCCAACCCACTGGAATGAAATGAGTACAAAACTGGTGTCATCGATTAATGATAACTTGAAAGGGCACAGCATCGAACTGTAGGAAAATGGCAGAGAATCCAGATTACTGTCTACTTTTTAAAATGAACAGAAAATAGAATGACTGAAAAGCCTCAACTGTGGCAAGAAAATATGCAAAAGAAATGACCTATTCAAATCGTCCTGGTCATTATTATTTTCAGTCACCGAAACAACCTCTTAAAGCTTATATCCAGCTTGAGGGCAGTGCTTTGAATAAAAAATAACCCACGGCAGCACTGTGCTCTTAAAAGAACATCAGGGCAGCACAGTGTTATGATCTAAAGATGTACAGGGTGCAAGAGAGGTGACTGGGACAACTAATCTCTTTAGGCATGTTTCTTCATCTCTAAAATGTGGACAACAGGCGTATCTCACAGTGTTCTGAAGATTAAGACAATGGGTATGAAAGTTTAGTTCTCGGCATGCATTATATGTTATTATAGCCAAGCACTAGAAACCAGTGGGTTCCTTATCCAATCATAACGCATGTTACATTGCATTACCCCTCTGCCTACACTCCTTACTTTTCCAAACGTTAAAGAAAGAGCAGATCCTAACTGTGGATTAGCCTGGAATTAAGTATATGTACTTACAGAGGTGTCACTTTTCCAGGTTTCTTCACCTACCCAAAAGATGACATTATGACTTAGAGGATGGACACCAATATTTTCTCAGAGCAGAAAGCTTAAATAAAGGCTTTATAAGAAAAGTTAATAGTTTCTCCGTATCACTAAATCTAAAACTTATCAAAATAATACATCTTAAAGACAAACAATAGAAACTATAATTAGGAAATCAAATATTATATACTATGAAATTAAGAACTGATTATATAGACAGTATTACCCTTGTGTTTTCTTATTATATAGCCACAGTTTCATCTGCAATTCAAGCTCAGTTTCTTTTTCTTGTCGTTGTTCCACGGTTGCAAGCCAGTTTCCAAAGCAGCCAAATGCAGCCTTTGTTAGTTCAATTTGGGTCAGACCATAATCATTGATATATTCTTGCTGTATAATATCTAACTGCAGGGTTAAAAAGAAAACCCAAAATGTTTATTAAACACATAAATGTTAAAGCAGTCAAGGAATAATTAATTACATCCAAAATAACTTTTAATAAGACTTTTACATAAAAGGAAAAACAAACTAATTGTTACTATGGACAACAAAACTGCCATTAAAAAGGGCATGTATAATATTTTATCAATTAAATAGAGATTATTCTTCAGTGACACTGAATATCAGCAATGACTAAGACAATACACGATACAACAGATGTTCAATATACAGTAATTCTTTTTACTTGTTTTAAAGAATACACAGTTTTATGCAAAAATCTCATGACTATATTCTACTACAATAGAAAAGAAGAGATCAGAAATAAACCTATGACCTTTAAGATATGAAAGAAGACTAGCAATGCTGTAAAAAGGCCAGCATTTTAGTTGTGGTTGTTTTTCAAACCCCATATCTTTGCCTATTTACCAAGTAAACAAGAGTACCTACTCTTTTGTGTACTAAGTGCTTACTATTTCAGGCACTGCACTAGATAATGAGTGTATATAGATCAATAAGCTTCCTTTCTTTGAAGGTTTAAAGACCCTAAAGAGAAAGAGATATTAACTGTTATGGCTGCTATGATAGAAATCTGTAAATACTGTAGGGCACAAGGAAAAAGTGGGATCCAGACTAGATTGCATTTATCAAAATTAAAAGAAGTGTTCCTTGGGGCCAACAGGTGACATGATGGTTAAGGTGCTGGACTCTCATATAACTGACCATGGTTCTAGTACCAGACACAGCAGCTTGAAAATCACATGTGCATGCCCAAACTCCAGAGAGGAGAATGAAGAAATTGTGTCATGGCTACTACCCCCCTTGGTGGTGATTTCTCACCTTCCTTCTCTGTGTCTCTCTGGTGAGCACATGTGCACTATGGCAAAAACATTAAAAAAAAAAAAAA